AATATCTGTAGTTCCTGGGGCTTAATCTTCAGGAACCCTAACTGCAGTACTTAAGCAGCATTAAACCTTTGATATACGTGCTGAAGAGCATGTGATTCACTCCCCAAATAGAAACCATCAAATGGGAGCTGGACCAAGTGTGTCTGCTTTCTCAGGCAGACAATCACCTGAGTTACTATTGCTACTAAGTTGAAAAAGTGGTCAGAAAACATTTTCCATGAAGTAAACCTGAAGATCCATGTTAAAGATTAAAGTCTTGTTTCTCCAAAGACGGACAGATCATTAAAAATACTTACTACTTTTCAGTATTTTTAAGGTATCAGTTCATTCCTTTGCTTTTTCCCTCACAGTGCAGTCCTGGTTTGGAGCAGTAAGATAAGCACTTGATTGCTAATCATAAGGTTGGTGGTTCAAACCCACCAGCTGTTTCTCAGAAACACAATATAAGGTCACTATGAGTCAAGAACTGACTCGATGGCACTTAACAACAACAACAACAATTTCATTGAGATATATTTCTTATCTCATAAAATTTAGTCATTTAAATTGTAATTTAAAGTATACAATTGAAATGGTTTTGTTTTAGTATATTCACATTAGGAGCTCTGGTAGTATAGTGGTTACAAGATTCAGACTGCTAACCTCAAGGTCAGCAGTTCGAAACTACCAGCCATTCCATGGGAGAAAGATGAGGCTTTCTGCTCCCATAAAGATTTACAGCCTCAAAAACCCTATTTATAGTCTTGGAAAACCAGGGTCACTAAAAGTCGGAAGCAACTGCACGGCACACCACATATTCACATTAATTGTGCGACCACCATCAAAATCTACTTTTAGGACCTTTCACCATCCCAGAAAGAAAGCCTATACCCATTAATAGTCATTCTCCACCAGCATCCCCTGATCCCCACACCCCTGCCCCAACCTTTTCCTGTCTCTTCCAACCTATTTAGCTCATAGCTCATTTCCTTGGCAAAAAAAAATGAAAGTTATATTTTGACATATCACACAAAAATGCTTTTGGGAGTAATTTTTTATGAAATTTTATTGTTCAATTTGCACACCTTCCCCTTCGAAATTAGTTAAAGCTAAGATCAAGGTTCCTATTACTATACACATATATCATAATAAATATGAGGAAGCTTAAAAAAGCTCATGAAAAAAATTTCATTGCCTTTCAACTCCATTTTTCCTTCTATATATAGGAAGGGGCTTAAAATTTGGCTCTAGTATTCCAGTTTCCTCAAACACTCCATTAAAGTAAGCTAAAATATAAGCCACGTAGAAAAGGAGTGTACCATTTCATTTTTTTCTTCCAAATTAAATAGACACTTAAATACTATAATTATTTCACAGACCCTGAGATGAACATTTAAAAATACTTCTGAAATTAGGAAATGACAGAACGGATAGCATGTCACAATTTCACTGGAGTAATTTTTCTTTCTTAAACCTGTTGTTGCCAAACCGACTCTGACTCATAGCAATACTATTAACAGAGTAAAACTACCTCATAGTGTTTCCAAGGCTGTAATCTGACAGCTTAGTGGTTATAAACTGGGCTGCTAACCTCAAGATCAAAAGTTCAAAACTACCAGCTGCTCTGTGGGAGAAAGATGAGGCTTTCTGCTCCTGTAAAGATGTACAGCCTCTAAAACCCTGTACAGGGTCACTATGAGTCGGAACCGACTCCACGGCACATAACAACAACAACAATCTGTAATCCTGGTGTGGCGCTGTAGGATAGGCATTAGACTGCATGATCGGTGATTCAAAACCATCAGCTGCTCCTAGGAAACCATATGTAGGGTCCCTATGGCTCAGAACTGACTTGATGGCACTGAACAACAACAGTCTTTATGAAAGCAGTCAGACCTTTCTCCCTCAAGTGGCTAGTGGGTTCAAACCACCAACTGTTCAGTCAGCAGTAGAGAGCTTTAACCATTGGGTCATCCTAATTCTCTTTTCTTTCTTAACAGGTATATAACTGTTACAATCAATTGTATCTAAAATTTGGAATACGGTATACTAAATTCAGAAAATCTTAGCCAATCTGTAGACTGAGAGAGGTTGCTGCTTCTTATAAGAGAAAATAAAAACACAAAATGTTAACACCAACTTTCATGGTGCCTGCTACTTTTTTAAAAAGTTAAATTTATGAGACATCTTTAATACAACAGTTAACCACTCCTTTTAAAACACTGGGTCATTTCGTCAATTTACTAGGTCAGTACTGCATTTCTTTTCTATGTGGAGATGTTTTTCTTCTAAAAAATATTTATAAAATCATCCTTTATGTTGCCTGTCTTATATAAAATTTTGATTTCATATATATATGTTTTATATTCATACATATATCAATTAATGAGGGGATTTCAAAAAGTTCCTGGGAATATGAAATTAAAAAATAATGGAATTTTTCCATGAACCTTCAGAGACCCTTATGTGTATATGTATGTATGTGTGTGTATATGCGTGTGTGTATAGTGTTGTGTGGGAAAGAGCAAAGTGTAGAAAATCACACAGAATATGGGATCATTTGTATACATTATATAAAAAAAGAGATTTATCTATCTTTGCTTTTTACACATGAACAAAAGATCTCACAGAAACACTTGTTGTTATGTGCCGCCTTCAAGTTCCTTCAAACTCACATCAACCCAATAAAGGATTTCCAAGGAGAAACTGATGAGTTTGAACGACCTACATTGTGGTTCAAATCACCCCTGAGCTCACCCTACAGCGCCACACCAGGACTCACACGGGAAGCTAGTAAAATTGACTACATGTGAACAATGGTTCAGGGACAGGGCAGGAAGAAGTAATCTTCATTTTATACCTTTTTTATATTAAAATGTTTTTAAACTATGTGAAATGTATTACTTAGCCAAAATCTTAAAGACAGTTTCTAATGTTGTACTTACTTAATTGGCTCTAAAATTACTATAATTGATCAATTTTTAAAACATCTGAATTGCATTTATACATACACGAAGAGACTTTTACAGATAATTTTTGTTGCTGGTAAATGCCACTGAGTCGGTTCCGACTCATAGCAATCCTGTATAGGAGCAGCTAGTGGGTTTGAACCACTGACCTTTAGGTTAGCAGTCCAGTGCTAATCCTACAGTGCCACACCAGGACTCCATACAGATAATAGATCAGATAAAACACAAGAAAGAAGAAAAACACAAAGTATTACTTCTCCAATCACAAAATTTTACATTTAAATTTAAAGAACTAGGGTGAAATATTTAGGTAAATGAATGTTAAGGGATGTCATTAGACAAAATGTTTTTCCCTTTATGCTTAAGGATTACTTTAAAATCAAACTAAGATATAAGTCATCATTTATTAACTTAATTTTAAAAGAATATCATGTTGCCATATCATAAATGATACATTTTCTGATAAAATAGAACATGGTACAAATAATTAACTAAAAAGGTAAATGATCATTCTTCATAAAATTAAAAATATAGCTTCTTTTTTCCAAATATAAGAAATTAAACATCAGTGAGAAAAGTAAACATCATATCACAAGTTAAATACATATATGTGTGTATGCATATATATGTACATAAATATACATATATAATGTATTTGATAACTGATATGCAAATTTATAAGGATTTCATGCAGTATACAATCAAATTTCATTGGTAGAGTCTTTTATAATAACTTAGGAAAGGAAAAGCTAAAACTTGGATTCTAGGTTTCTGTGATACTTTGAAGAGTGTATTAAGGAAACAGTAAAGGGTTGCAGACATGACTGCATTACATGGATTATGTGACAAGCTGAGGAGGGAAAAGAAGCTCAAACACCATTCTGCCAGGAAGAACCGCAAAACCATCAGAAATTAGACACTGATCCATCAAGACAGAAATATTTCCAGACTTACATCTTACAACTATTTAAAAATAATTATGTAAAATAAAACTATCAGTAAGAAAAGTCTTTTTATATAAAAACTACATAAAGGAATCAAATTTCTTCATGTTCTATGGATAGGTTTTCTTGAGGATCAGTACAAATTTCTTGTGCTAACCAGGTAAAAATCGGCTTGAAATGGGCTTGCCAATGCAATACGTAGCTTTCATACTGTAGGTCCCCTAATGACTGAAACAACTGGGAATTCAGGGAGCTAACGGTGGAATTGACAGCATAGGTTCCAAAATGTTTTCAATCCATTTAACATTAACGAATTTGTGAATTGGAAATTTATCTCATTCACTGAATAATGCAAATAAATAATGAATTCCTTTACAAACAAATCATCTAGTCATTTGAAAGAGGTTACAAATAACTTTTAATTAAACTTTTACTGGCTAAACATGACTTGTATTTCCAATAGTATTTACGGCTTATAATATAGACTATGGGTACTAAAATATATTTGTAACTGTACTGTGGATATTTTAGATTCTGCCCAAACCAGGTTAGCTATAAGAAAAACAAAACAGGTATAAAATTTAAAAGATAATTCAGTCAACATTATAACTATTCTTTAAGATAGAGTGTAAGTATAATTTATTGTGAAACAAACGCAATAAACTAACATTTGTAATAGGAAACAAGAAGTATATTTCAGAAAGGAATAGCATTATTAGTCCCTGTTAATTTTCCATACAAAAAGTGTCCACTTTTGGAGACACATCAAGCAGATTGCATCAAGAGCAAAGATGAAGAACATTCGTTAACGGGTGATGTAAACATCAGACAGCGGTCAAGGCACATCAATGGACCTACAGTAATAGTCAGCACTGCAGAAGCTAATGATGCTTTGGGCAAAACTTGGAAAATGTGAATACCATGCAGTTATACTGAACTCACCTGACAGAGGTGTAAAACCATTCTCTAGGCGCAGAGATGCATGCACAAAAGTAAGAATATGATTGCAAGTAACAGACTTTAACAAAACAAAAATATAACATCAAACTGACAAAAAATGGACAACATGATGAGATGGCTGGGATGAAAAGATCTGTGCGTGTCTCACCTCTCGCTTTGCCAGTAGCACGTTGGGAACGATGTGAGGCAGGCAGCGTCCCAGCATTAGCATGACGCTCTTTTCACTGTCTGCAATCCGAGACACCTAACACACCAAAGAGCTCATAAGTGACAACAATAGGGAACTTTCATATACGAAGGTACTTACAGTTCATGTGTTAGACCCAAAACGATGACTAAAACAACATAACTGTGCCTTCCGACAAGATAAACAGTTCTGGCCAGAAACAGGTTAAATACAGTAGCAAGCAAGCAAGGAGGAAGCCTGCCAGGGAGGGCTGCCAACTCCATTTCTTTATACAAGTAAGGGCAGCACAGGGCTAGGGCAGCCTCAGTGGGGCTTCTCCCATTCTTGAAAAGACGTCTAAAAAGCTGCAATCACTGCTGTACGCTGTAGCTTTTCTACTGAAGTTGCATGCTCCTAGTGGCCCAAGGAAGCAGACCCAGTTGTGCAATAAAAATTGCCAAAAATGCACCCAAACCACCCACTAGTTCTTTGAAATCGCTAATTACACTGCAGGGCAGAAGCCCATATAGGGGTCAAGTGAAATGAACCACAAGACAATTAAAAAGGGAAGTATGAGCTAAAAAAAGAGAGAGAGAAAAACCCTCAATTTCAAGATGATCCTGTAACTAAAATAATAAATGCTGGAAGAAAACCAATCTGAGATTGACTAATAAACTCAGTAATTCAAAGACAATCACTTCCAATAAAATGAAAATAATAACTGAAATATAATAGTGGACATTTAAATTGATATTCTGAATTATATCAAAGAGAAGCCTTTACCATTTATTAGTATTTAATATTGTTAATTAAAAGAATAGAAAAAAGCAACAACCTTCCTTAAATGTTTAAAATTTTAGCAGGTCCTTCTTAGAACATTTTCATAAACAGTAGGTTTCTGTATGAAATATAAGCTAATCACAGCTTCTCTGGATACAGACACTAAGAAGAAAAACATCAGAATGTTTTAAGACTGCAGCAAGAGTATGTGGTCAAATTTACCTCTGATCCTAGACGACTATCTGCTGACATTCGACAAAAAGAAAGTAGTGCTTGGTGGAAAGCAGGAGACAATTTCCTGGAAGAAAACAATCAATGAAAAGAATACCAAAGAAACATCACTGACATGTAAGGAGCACGTTGAATGTTACAACTCCCATTCCTACATTTAGCTGATCCTCCAAACGTTGTTGTGAAGGGCCACTAAGTGGGTTCTGACACACTGCTACCCTATAAAGGGTTTCCAAGGAGTGACTGATGGGTTTGAACTACCAACATAGGAGTTAGCAGTTCAGTGCTATACTAGGACCTGTTCCCCCACCACCGCCCCAGCATTAACCATAGCTATATTTTAGCCCATTGGTACAGTTATGTATCAATCCATCTCGTTGGGAAATCTTCCTCTTTTTTGCTGACCCTCTACTTTACTAGGCATGATGTCCTTCTCCAAAGACCGGTCCCTTCTGATAACATGCACAAAGTATGTGAGAGGAAGTATCACCAGACTCGCTTCTAAGGAGCATTCTGGCCATACTTCTTCCAACACAGATTTGTTTGTTCTTTTGGCAGTCTATATTCATTACTTGTCACCAATACCATAATTCAAATGGATCAGTTCTTCTTCACTCTTCCTTAGTCATTGTCCAGGTCTCACATGCATATAAGGTTACTGAAAAGGGTAAGGCGCACCTTGGGCCTCAAGGTAACATCTTGGCTTTTTAACACTTTAAAGTCAAATTCTTGACACCTTCAGTATTTTCTTCATTTACCATGATGGTCCAGATGTGTAATCAACATTGAACTTACATATCTAAAAATCAAATCTGACTCATAGCAATTGTCCACTAACCAAACTGTCAGCAACCACCAGGCCTTCAAAGTTTATATAAGCTTATTTAGTATACCAGATGTCAGTACACACACACACAGTGGTACTTGGTCATTTTTATTCTAGAATTTTAGTAATGTGCCAAAATGTGTGCCTGTTCACTCATTCACGTTCTTTCCACAGTCTCTTAGTGAAGGCTACCATATCCATCTAACTGCCCAAGTTAGAAACTTCCCAAGCAGCTTTGATCTTTCTCTCTTTTCTAAGTGACCTTCTATCTCCTAAATGTCTTGTGACGCTATCCACTTCTTTCCACTCACTAATGTCTTACCTGGATTCTTTTACTAGACACCCTATTAATCTCCCTTTTAATAGACACCCTATTAATCTCCCTTGCTCCAGTCTTACCATCCTACAATCCCCTCTACCTGACAGGACCCTTTCTAAGATGGACATCACGTTCTGGCTTTTTAAAATGAGTCAACACAGGCTTATATGAGTTAGTCTTTGCTTGGTTCTCCAACTTCATCTCTTGTCATTTGTCACTTTCATTCTTTGCTATTGTTGTTGTTGTTAAGTGCCAATGGGGTCACTCACAGTGACCCCATATAGGATTTTCAAGGAGTGGCTGGTAAGTTTGAACCACCGACTGGTAAGTTTGAACCTTGCGGTCCTGTGCATTATCCTACAATGCCATACCATGTTGACTTTTTAATTGATATTTGATGTAATTTGATTTACATCAGCTTTGTTACATATTTTTTGTGACATGTACTTTGCTATGTGGTAAGTTTAATATAGAAATTCTTGTACCTTATTTGCAAAAGTAGTTAGAATTAAATCTCTTTCAAATTGTCAAAGTAGCAAAGAGCTGAACAATGCATTTAAAATTGAGAGGACACGTACTAACCTATTGGGTTTATCAAACTGAACTGCACTTTTACTAGGTGGAGAAGAAGACACCATTGTTTCTTGCTCTCTCCTGGGGAAACCATTTGAAGAATTCTCTTTAGGAACAGTGGATTCAACATCATCTGATATGGGAAGATGAACATCCTTGCTTTTTCCCCAGTCTGAACTATTTACAACCGAATTCTGTCCACTGTCTTCAGAATCTTTCTGGGAAGACTGTTCCAAAGCCGGCTGACCAGAGTCACAAACCACGGGAATGGCAAAATGTTCATTTTTGAGGAAGTCCATTTCACTGAAGAAGAAAAAAAGAAGTTACCACAGAACAAATGTATTGCTTAAAACTTAGGCAAAAGTATACACTTCAAAATATGTCTAATGCTTTAAAAGTGTAATGCATTTATAGAGGAGGTAAGTGATTACTTTTCTGTACCATATTCACTGGTGCTTCATACACACACCTAAAAGTGTAGACAAAGTCTCACCAATGAAGTGTAAAAATAGCATTTCACAGAGATGGGAACATGGAGAGGGGGAAGAGGCTGAGGACTCTAGATTCATGGAAAGAAAGGAAGTAAGAGAAAGTGGCCAGGAGGAAGACTTGCAGAACGTGCCCTTTGGAGGTCTAAATTATTATATATGCCTGAGTGTTTTTAAAAAAAAGAGCTAAAGTGAATAGAGAGAAATATTGTTAACTGGTGGTACATGGAGGTGATTGTAATCATTGTGATGAAACAAAGCGTATGATTTGTTGAACGTAAACTAATGATCTGCCCTGTAAACTTTCACTCAATCCACAATAAAAACTTTAAGAAGAAAAAAAAAAATATGGCCTTTCATTATAAACTCTGCCTTACATTTGTAGTAACTACTTTTCATCATATAACTAGTTTAAAAAATACAATTTTAGTAATTAACTTCCTTTTTTTCATTTTCAAAATGGTAGTAACATAAAGAGTTATTGTAAGCATAAACTAAAATGATGACGAGAAATTACACACAACAATGATGTGACAAGAGTTATCTATTGATACTGATGCAGCTCAGAAATCAAAAATACATGATGATGCCTTGGTTTCAAGACAATCGACTGTAAGATCATTCCCGTGATTTCATAATGATTTTGGGGGGAGGAAAGATACAATACTGCATTAAATATATGAATCATCTATAAGACTTTTACTTTCAGAAATACTAAAATGTGAAAATAGTGTGCCCTACAGTTGAAACATTTAGATCACCTGTCAATTTCTTTAAAAACTTTCAGAGGTATTTTAGAAATAATAATAAGCACTTGCCTTTCAAGTCTTCTGATTTGCTCCATCAAGGACCATTTCTCATTATTTAATAAACTAATTTTATCTTCTAATTTTTGTACTAGCAAGGAGTTCTAAAATCAAAATGGGAGAGAAATAGAAACTGAACATCTCATAGTATGCTTTTATATCGTTTAACACTTTTTGTGAAATTGACCAGTTAGCTGATCTCTCACCTCTCCAGGCTGAGGAGTTTCAAAAGTTGGAGGCAGACTGCTTAAAACTGGTGTGAGAGCCTCTAGTTCCTCTTCTTCTACCCCACTGGCCACATCCACAACATCTTTCCCAGCCACTTGATGATTTCCAAAGTCCCGGTAGAGCTGCAGTAAGTCTGGAGGTTTGGGGATGTTCAGGCCTACATCATCCCATAATTCAAAGTCCTAAAAGACAATAATAATAATATAAAAATTATATCAGCTCTGAGGCAATTTTCTTCTGCATTTTTGAAATTCATTTTATTCCTTACTGCTAATAGTAAAAGTCTAACACAATCAAATTTTGGGGTAACATCAAAGTGTATGTAAGTTTCCGGGGAACAGCATTCTTAACCTAATTTCCACACTTAAGGACGCTCCTTGGCAGTCGAGATGGCGAGACTTCATCTCTCAGACTTCAAGTGTGTTTTCAGGAAGGGCATCATACTTGGTAAAGTAGAGAGTCAGCGAAAAAGAGTAGGACCCCCAATAAAATAAACTGACAATCGCAGCAGCAATGGGCTCAAACCAAACAATTGTGAGGACAGCGCAAGATCAGGCACTGTTTTGTTCTGTTGTGTTTGGGGTTGTTATGAGTTGTAACCAACGTGACAGGATCTAACAACAACGTTTCCTGACATTCTAAGCAGTGGTCATAATATGCCGTCAAGTCGGTACTGACTCTTATCAACCCTGGATAAAAAGTCCCGGAGTGGTGCTGTGGATTAATGCAATGGACTGCAAAATCGGTTTGAACCTCAAGATCAGTGGTTCAAGTTCACCAGCCGCTCCTCAGAAACCCAATACAAGATCACTATGGGTCAGAACCGACTTGACGGCGCTTCAGAACAACAACCACATAGGGGTTCCAAAGCTGTAAATCTTTATGGAAACAGAAAACCTCATCTTTCTCCTGCAGAGCAACTGGTAGATTTGAACTGCTGACTTTGAGGTTAGCAGCCCGACACATAACCCACTACACTACCGGAGCTCCTGACACTCTAAGTAAATAGGGTTAATTGTCAACATGTTGTACATACAATGTTTTAGGCTTCCTTTTATTTTTTTAATCTCAAAAATGTACATTCTGTGTTTAGCACCTGTGGTAAAATACTGCTACCATTCAGGGCTCCCACAATTAGGAGTGGATACACAAAAACAAGTGCCAACTTGGAAACTACAGGAAGCTGATGTTAGATGTGCTGCCAAGTCAGGTGTGACTCAGAGACAGTACAGAAAGGAAGAGCACTGCATCCTAGGGTTTCCTATGTATAAGTCAGTACCAGAGCACATCATCAGGTCTTTTCTCCTGAGGAGCAGCTGGTATATTTGAACCTCCGACCCTTCAGTTAGCAGCCAAGTACTTTACCTATTTTGCCACCAGGGTTCCTACAAGTACTATGATTAAAGAGCTGTCAAGAATTCAAAAAGAATTCAGAAAGAAACGCTAATTCTCATCTTGTGGTGTGAGTAAGGCAGTTTTCTGGAAAGTGATGACCCATAAACTCTCGTGGAAAAGGTGAAAAGAAACTAGAATAATCAGAGAACAGGGGCAGAATGAATAAAACCACAAAGCTATGAAAGGCTCAGGCACGTTTACGTAAACTCTTCTTTCTGGCGTGATTATAGCAGGTAGGAGAAAAATAATGCTGGAAAGGTAGGTGGTTATGTGCCATGGAGTCGGTTCCAACTCAAAGTGACCCTGTACAGGGTTTCCAAGGCTGTAAATCTTTACAGGAGCAGAAAGCCTCATCTTTCTACAGAACAGCTGGTAGTTTCAAACTGCTGACCTTAAGGTTTGCAGCCCGATTCGTAACCACTACACTACCAGAGCTCCTTGGAGAGGTATGTTTGTTGTTGTTGTTGTTAAGTGCCATGGAGTCGGTTCTGACTCATAGCAACCCTGTACAGGGTTTCCGAGGCTGTAAATCTTTACGGGAGCAGAAAGCCTCATCTTTCTCTCGCAGAACAGCTAGTAGTTTTGAACTGCTGACCTTGCGGTTCGAAGCCCAATTCACAACCACTACGCTACCAGAGCTCCTTGGAGAGGTAGGTAGAAGGATTAAAAAGACTCTTCAGAGTGATTATATTTAGATAGGAAAGGAGAGAAAGCAGAAAGCAAGAGAGACAAAGAACACAGAAGACAAGGAGAGGTTAGAGAAATGCAGACATTAATAAGGTTGAAGAACAGAGGTAGTAGGATAAAACAGTGACACAGGTAAGACAGTTTCAAGTGACAAGATCGCAAAGTGGCAGTGGGAGCAAGGTGTCTCCTGTAGTGGAGGAGACAGCCCTTTATTTTTATATTAGGTTATGAAATGGAGAATAAAAGGAGGTCCTCAGGGAAGACACAAGTTCTATTTAAATGTTTACTTTCTTTAATTGCTTGTTGCTAGCATATAGAAATAGAACTGAATTTTGTTTATTGATCTTGCATCCCACAACCTTGCTAAAAATTAGTTTAAGTCATTTTTTAAAGAATTCATAGGATTTTCTACCTAGACAATCATGTCATTGGTGAACAGAGATCATTTTATGTCTTTTCTTACAATGTGTGCCTACACAATCTGGTGTTACCATGCTTGGTAAATAGAGGGTCAGCAAAAAGGAGGAAGAGCCTCAACAAGACGGCTGGATACAGTGGCTGCAATAACTGGCTCCATCATGGCAATGATGCTAAGGCTTGTGTGAGAACCTGCAGAGTTCCATCCTGTTGTGCACGGAGTCATTATGAGCTGGAGTCGACTCAAACGCCCCTAGCAACACCACCACCAAGAGAGACTAGAGTCTTGGGTGTTTAAGATACAATTATTTTGAATTTTCCTGTCATAGCCAAACCTGGTCTTAATAGATAAAATACTAACTTACAGCTTTTGAATTAAAAAAAAAAAAGGCATCTGTAGTATTAAAACCTTGCTCATTTGGGTCATTTGTGTTTAACTGAGTAAAACAAGCCATGACTTATTCAATTATACGATTTGATCAGGATATAATAGTGAGGTTCTACACTCCACTGGCTCCTACTCAAGAAGACATGCAAATGAAATTCTCATTCAAAATATTTTCTTTAATTACTCTGTTATCTACTTGACTATTTTTCAAATTATTAAACACTATTAAGAAGGTTTTTTGTGGAACTGAATTTGTAAATATACACAAAGCTGTACTACTAAAAAACATTTTAAAGTCAATATAGGCATCTACTGAGAGTAAAGTGAGAAAGTGGGAAATCTGCAATAGAGAGACCAGGAGAGACCAGGGGATCCAACTAAGAAGGCAGGGAAAAAGCAGATCTCAGGGTGACGGTCAATAGTGTTCCCAGGATGAACCAGAGGTATGAGGCATAGTGTAAAGAGACCAGATTAAAGGTCAGAGAGCTCCAGAAGAAAGTTCTCCAGAGGAAAAAGACGGAATAATGAATGAACTTCCTGCAGTAGATCTAGCAACACATTTTAAAGTTAATTAGCGTTAAATATAGCCGCTCCTTGGAAATCCTATACAGTGTTGCTAAGAGTTGGAAGCGACTCGACAACACTAACAACAATATAGAATACAAAATAAAACAAATGAAAAGACAAAATAACTCGTAGCACTAGAAGAAATGAAAGGGTGTGTTGGAAAGGAAAACAGTGTATTAGGAAACGCTGTTAGTTACTTTGCTTACGTTGGCTCTGACTCCCTGGTGACCCCAGTACAACAGAAGGAACAGGGTCAGTCCTGCACTTCATCACGACTGCGGCCATCCCAGAGTGCACTGCTGCAACCGCTCCAGGGTTCAGTCCCCAGCATTCCACTGTATGGTAGTCTGCTGGGATCTTTGTGGCTTTACTGGCTGATTCTTTAAAGTGGATCATCAGAGCTTTCATCCTAGTCTGCGGGGTCTGCTGAAACCTGTCCGCCATCAGGGACCTGCCAGTACTTGCAATACTGGAGGCATAAAAGTCCTGGTGCAGCACTGGGGGTTCATGCACTGGACTACAATGTCGGTCTGAACCGCAAAGTCAGGGGTTCAAGTTCATCAGCCACTCCTCAGAAATCCTATACAGGGTGGCTATGGGTTGGAACTGACTTGACGGCATTAACAACATGCAAGCCACCACCACTGTATGGCACACTAACAGACAAGCAGCGAATACTAGCCAATATCTATTCATAATAATGACAACACTATTACTCTAACCAAAATTAAGCTGTCTGCCTAGTTAGAAGACTGGGGGCGAAGACATAATAGTAGTCACCAAGGAAAACTACAGCCTCACTTTCCGTCGTGAGATGCCAAAAGGTGGTAATAAACAACACTCTGATAATTGGGAAGTAACAAATGAGTATCTTATCTAGAGTCAGGGAGGCAAACACCAAACTCATCAGTTACAAGTTATGAAAGTGATGTTTCTGGAGAATGGGAAATGGCAGGCAAGAGAATGCCGGCAGAATATTACTATTTATAAGTGTAGCTTTGCAAAAAAGAAAGTAAGTTTTAAGTTAAAAAGGAAATTAAAACAAATAATTGTTAAGTGCCGTCAGTCATAGAAACCCTCTATAGGGTTTCCAAGGCTTTAAATCTTCGCAGAAAGCCTCATCATTCTTCCCCAAAGAGGCTGGCAGGCTTGAGCTGTTGATCTTGTGGTTCTCAGTCTAGTGCTTCTCTATGGAGCCACTGTTCTCCCTAAACAAACAATAAATACATAAAAAGTCATGGTAACTTTACCTGATCATCATTTTCATCTGAAAAGGTTATGGATGTGAGCTTGTAGTTATTCTTCAATAAAAATTCGTTGACTAGGAAGTTTAGAGCTCTCTTTTCAAGAGGTTTGATTGGCTCCTAGAGGCAGAATAAAAGACAGACACAATACTGTAAGTTTTCTTCCTTCAGTACGCGCGCTACTTTGATATGGAAGAGAGTTGTGACTCTGTCACTTACTTACCTGAATTTCAGGACTTGATTTATAATTTTTTCGTTCCTGTAAAGGAACTTCATTTTCTGGGGGAAGAAAGTGTACATAATATTTTACTACTTTATATTTGAAAATATCTATACTACTTCTACATTGTCAAAGTAGAAAAAGTCTCAAAAAAAGTTTGATGTACACCACCTGCAGCCTTTGTTAGGTTTGCTCGGAGGGCCTGAATGGTCTCCTTGGCTTTCCGTAGTTCAAATTCCAGGACTGGACAGGGATTTGGAATAAACACACACAGGCATCCAACCAAGAAAAGGGAAACAAAAATAAACAAATAAAAAGCAAGGATGGGTATGAAAACAAAATACAATCTGTATTGAAAACAGAAAGCATGCAGTCTTTATGAAACTTGGGAACGCATGCAGCAGAGTTGATTTGCAAGCAAACTGGTGAATGTTTTCCATAGTTGGAGGAGCAGTCAGGGGATGACTGATTAATGTTCCAGCTGTCTGACAGGGAAGAGCTCTATTTAAAAACAAACTCTCTGGGATACATTCTTCTAAATATTAGGCATCTGGGCACTTTACCCAATCTAGGTAAGAAAATGCAATGAGATGTTTCAAGTAATATAATTTTGGAGGAAAAGATAAAAATAAATGAAGCCCAAGTAAACATACTCTAAAAATATCTTAGGGTTTAAAATAAAAAGTAGTTTTAGAATGTTTTATCTAAATGTTATAAATCAATATGGAAAAGATAGTGAAAACATCCCTTGACTAAGATGTTAAATATTTAACAAATGATGGGATGTCAATACATTTTGAGAAATAAGCATATAATGTACTTTACAGGCTGGAACAAAAAAGTTCCAAGGTTTTATTTTAGGTTTCACTTCGGGGCAAAAGGCAGAAAATTTCCCTTTTGATTAAGATCATTTTAAATCAAATGATTGTGTACATTTCTAAAAATTACTTATCTAAGAATACTAAGTAAAAGAAATACAATTTCAAAGTCCTGGTAATGCTTAAAGTTGATTTCCCACTTTAAGAGGCACTGATGAACCTCAAAACTTTCCTCCTTTCATCATAGTGTTAAACATGAATACTGGGGAAACATTTTAATTAGCTTTTTCTTTTGAGTTATGGTGTTTGAGGAGAATATTAAAAGTGCCATGGGCTGCCAAAAGAACAAACAGATCTGTGTTGGAAGAAGTGCGGCCAGAGTGCTCCTGGAGGCCAGGATGGCTAAACTTCGTCTCTCATACTTCGGACATATTGTCAGGAGGGGCCAGTCACTGGAGAAGGATATCATGTTTGGTAGGGTGGAGGATCAGAGAAAAAAGGAAGACCCCCAGGCAAAAAGGACTGGCCAAGTGGCTACATCAATGGGCTCAATCGTGGGAACAATTGTGAGGTTGGCCCAGGACCAGTCAGTGTTTCATTTTGTTGTGTTCAGGGTCGCTATGAGTCGGTACTGACTCACAACAACAACCATCAGCACAATTTAACTATGGTATATACCTTCCAAAACTGTGCTAACGACACAGCAAATTTAAACATGGGGGGAAGCCATCTTAGTGAAACAGAGCGCTAGGAAAACAAAGTGATCTTATCTAACTGGGTATTTACTCAATTATAGCAGTTAAATAGTTCTGCATAAAAACTAGGAAATTTAAGGTAACCTCGTTAAGGTTACCTTATTTGTTTTCCCTGATTGACAAACAGATAAAAAAGATGTCAAATGAGATGTTATCAGAGACAACAAAGTTATAAAAATATATGGAAAAATTAGGATTCACTCAGTTTGCAATTTTCCATTAAAAATGTGAAAGATGTAACTGAATCACATCTAGTAACATGATGGTCACCTATTTAACTGCAGCAACATGGAAGCACACTAAAAACCAGATGACATAGTATGTGATGGCTTCTTTTTTGTCAGCAATGCTGATCTGCAAACATTTCTGTGCAACAAAGTTACAACATCTTTCCTAAAACACACTCTGGAAATTAGCTCATGTTTAAAAACACTGTACACATTCCATGAGTAAGGTAAGTAAATAGGCTTACATAGCAGAATGCTTTACTTTTTCTTAAATTTCAAAACTTAGGTAATTGATTTTGATTTTAAAATGCTTAATTATACCTTAAGTAAAATGAGTCTATATATTGATGTTTTTCAGCATCATTTACATTTTACTAAGATATATTACAGAACAGTTGCAGATCAGAAATGCCCTGTACCAGAATGATAGAAATATGAAAAACAGAAAAGAAAAGAAATAACAAAAACTGGTGAGAACTCAAATTCAATTGGAAAAAGTTTAGGTGACCAAAGAGCAAACACTGAATGATTAAGGCACAGAAAGCCAGAAAAACCCATGTCAGACGGCAAGAATTTATTTCCCTATGCACATCCATAAATAGCCAAATGTCATTAAGTAACCAATGCTTTGAAAAGATGGTGCCTATCAAAATGAATTCACTCTGCTGCATGTTTCTTAATATAGGATATAGACTTTAAGAGACAAAGGCATATCTTTAAAACTAAAGGACACAGCTCTATAAAGACACAGTATGCATAGTTAACTAACTTCAGTTGCATGATATATTTACATATATATTTGTTTCTTCTTTTGTAAAACATTTGATTACAGCTCAAACTCAGTTATTCTATAAACTTATAATGTTTAATCTCCAAGTATTTTTCACATCTAATTCTTGCTAAAAATGTTTGAAGGTCTGTATGTTTTCAAAAATCATTGTAGTAACCAACCATCAAACTCCTCACTCAGCTGAATACAATGATACTGCAGTAATAGTAATATATAAAGGTAAAGGTGGATAATAATATTTCATACTATAACTGTTTACATATAAAAAGATGATCAAGTCAGTATGAGCCATCCTAGATTAGCTGAATCAGCACGTGGCAAGCAGGACCTGATATTCTGGAATTCTATCAGAGGCACTTGCGTGCTTGAAGTCTATGCTCTGATGACTTGGGAGAGATGGTACAACTGACTATGTGCAGGCAACAGAGATAAACAGTTAAAATGCAAAGCAGAAATGGATCCAGTTTTTGCTGCCCCAACTCAATTTTATTATTTATATTTTCTCAAAATACTCTCCAGTCTTGCTTCATTTTGTCATGAAACTCAAAAACCTTTTGGGGAAGATACTTTCTATAGCATTGATCTCAGGTGTAGTGCTATAGGATAAGGACTGCTAACCCACCAACCACTCTCAGAAACCCTATTCAGGGTTGCTGTGAGTTAGAAACAACTTAAAGGCACTTAAAACTTCCCCACTGAAGAGCTCAAATCAATAAAAAGGTCTGAATCAAGGATTCTACCATCTAATTAGTCATGAAACTGCTTCCTTTACATTAGAATTTTTGGTATTTTTTCTGATGCAAAATAACATGATTTGACTTTATGATAAAATACCATTTCCCCATCATTAATATTTATTTTAATATCCCAGAAATGGTTCTATAAAAAACAGGAATCTTTTATCTTCAATTCTCTTAAGAATATGAGTTAGAATAAAAATCCATACCAAAGCAATACAAAAACTCTGAAACACTAATTATCTCCAATCCTATTAGTTTTGGAGAATTCTCCCTGCATATTTCAGATTTCAGGAATGTGTACAGTACTGACAGGCATGACTCAATTGATGGTAACAAATAAATTAATTAAAACAAATATGTAGTCTTAGAGATTTCTTTCTCGATATTCAGCTCAGTGGACAAAAGCCATTTCTTTCGTACACCTTGAACGAAACAAACTACTCCCATTGCCCATTGTCATTTTCCCCACTCCCTCCTCCAGGCTTGTCACAGCCCTACGTCTTTGTGGAAGTGACTTCTTCCAACTTCTCTTCTCTCTATTAAAAAAAAAAAAAAAATGCTACTCATCAAGCCCCAGTTCAAATGTGACCTTCTCCCAGATGCTTTCCACTCAAAATGAACAAGCTATTTATTAAAATTCCCAAAACACTGTATATGTAAATATATTACATACATATGTGTATTTCAACAGAAATTATTTGAGATTATTCCTTATTTTATTGGGTTAGGGGTTGGGCTGCTAACTACAAGGTCAGCAGTTTGAGTCTACCAGCCACTTCACAGGAGAAAAATGAGGTTTTCTGTTCCCATAAAGATTTACAGCCTCGGAACCCCTATACAGGGTCATTAAGAGTCAGAACCAGCTCCACAGCACACCACCACCATCACCATTTCATATTTATTTCGTATTTGTGTTAACTAGTGCCTAACACAGTACTTACCACAAAACAGATACTCAAAATGTTTAAATGAATTAAAGAAAAAAAATCCCAACAGTACACACTCCTTGCTAGATTTAAGAAAATTTCAAAATATAAGCGGTGCATTATATATGCATTATGTAATACTAGCTTTGTTTAATAACACAGAAAATCCTTTACTAAAAAACTAAAACAAGTCACACTTCTTTGGACTTGATGTCTACTACTATTTAATTCATGTTTACATGAAAATTTATAATTCACATGAAAAATAAATTCAGAAATGAAAAATATATACAATGAAAAGTCTTTATAATTTTCTTCCTTTCATAGGAAAATGGCTATGCTGAAACTGTAGAGGAAAGACAATATTCTGCTATCCATACGAACTGAACATATAGATGAGTCAGAGCTGCAGCCTGCTACAGCTCTGACTATGAAGTAAAGACATCATGACCTAGTCTGCAGGATTGTTAATAGGATTAAACAAAATAATGTATGTAAAGTACCCAGAATAGTGCCTGGCACAGACAGATACTCAAAAATATTTGTTACTCTGAAGATCAATTCCTCTTTAAAGGGAAAATTGTACAGATGTGAGAAAATAACCAGATTTTTTAATGTGGGAGAAAGTTGGTAAGAGTGACCTTGAAAACAAATGTTTTGTCTGTCTCATAAACAGCAGGCACTGATCAGCCCTAAGGCGACCCTACACGTGTCTGCTGGGGCACTGGATTCATTCACTGCCTGCGAATGGTACAGGAAAATAAAGAATATGAAAATACTTTTGTTCCTAGCTACCTCTTCAACCTTAGTGAGGTTTACAGGTGATCTAACAGCAGATACAGAATCATTACCTCTTGTGTGTTCATTTCTGATAAACTTTTGATATATTTTGATAAGCTTTTAAGTTCCTACTAATGGTAAGCAAAAAGTCAAAACGATTTTTGGAAATTAGAATTTTGACTCATTCTAAGAATCTTTTTGTGAAGTTTCAACTACCACACACTAATTAAATAATTACAGTTTACAGTGTAGTGCTGTGGGCTAATGCGTCAGACCGCAAAGTCAGTCGTTTGAACTCCAAGGTCGGTGGTTCAAGTTCACCAGCTGCTCCTTGGAAACCCTATACAGGGTCTCTATGGGTTGGAATCGACTCGATGGCACTTCACAACAACAACAAAAGACATGATACAAGAGCATTACAAATGTCAAAGCCATGGTTTATTCTTCCTCCTTTTTCCAATGAAGATGAACAATGTTTCTATGTAAGTATAATATAAAACCAAAGCAAAGCCCTTACCCTTACCCCATAGGATTTTTGAGGTTGTAACTCTCTATGAAAGTACATTGCCACATCTTTCTCCTATCGGTTCAAACTGTCAACCTTTCGGTTAGCAGTACAGTGCTTAATCACTGCACCACAAGAACTCCTTGAGCTTGACTACTGCACCACTTGCCCTACGGCCATCAAGTTGATTTCAACTCATAGCTACCCTACCCCTAGGTAGGGTGTCTAAGGCTATAAAATCTTTCAAAAGCAGAATGCGTTATCTTTCATCTGTGAGCAGCTGGTGAATCGAAACTTTTGCAGTTAGTAGTCTAACAGGTAATCTAAAAATTACATTTCTGCAAACCTAGAGATACAGCATATTCTTTAGGTCAAAACTACCACATATTAGCAGTTGTCTTTCACTGTGAGTTATTCAGTCTGTGGTTTATGGGCCCACAGCTGTTTCCTCATTCTTCTCTTCCTGCTTTAAGTTTTCCATTGAGCTCATTAGCTCACTGCCTACCGAAGAGAGTTTGGATCAGTAAAACTTTTTACTCTAAATGGGAATGAAAATGTTGTAGAAACAATGACATTTCAACAAAGGAACTTCCACTTTCTTCTCTTTTACGACCTATATTGCTATGAATAATAAGAGATATTCAAGCAACTATTATAAATTTTAGTTACACATTTTGCTTTTAAATCAATAATGTTTCACTTGATTAGAAGTTTGGCAATAGCTAAATAGCAAGAACACATACTTAGAAACTTTCAGAATTTGACTAAATCTGAAATGTACATTTTCAAATGGTTACTAAAGGTAAGTACAATTATGTGGCCAATTTCTAGGCAGGATTTCTTTTCAAATTCATAACTATCTATGTTGTTGTTGTTGAGTGCTGCCAATGACCATCTATACAATCATACAAACATATAAAACTATATACAGTTATTTACTCAATTAAATTGTTGTGTTCTTGTTAACCAGGACGCCGCCGATTCATAGTGATCCCATAAAGGGTTTCTGAGGAGCAGCAGGTAAATTTAAATGTCGGTTCAAACCAACCTAGTGTCCAGTATTTATCCCCACAGAGTCACACTGCATGTCCCTCAATTAAATAATGCACATTTAATGTTGTTGTTGTTAAGTGCCATCGAGTTGGTTTCAACTCTTAGCATCCCTGTATAGAGTTTTCGAAGAGTGGCTAGTGGGTTTGAACTGCTGATCTTGTGGTTCAAACCGGCCTTATGGTCCAGTGCTTATTCTACAGCGCCACACCAGGACTCCATATATTTAATACTTAACCTAAAATAAATAATAAACATAGCTAAAAACAAAAGTGGGTAAGTCAAAAAGTATTGCTACAAATTCACAGTAACCTTAATTAAACAAAAATGTCAAAATGTGAACCTGTTTCTAGACATATTCTAGGTCTATACATTTCCAAAGACTCCTGGGTGTGGCGCTGTAAGATATGCACTCAACTGCAAGGTCGGTGGTTCAAACTTACCACCCACTCCTCGGAATCACTATACAGGGTCACTATGAGTCATAACCAACTTGACGGCACTTAACAACAACAACACACATTTCCGAGAAGTCCTGGTATAGTGCTGTAGGATCAGTCCTGGGTTGCTAATAGCAAGTTTGGCAGTTCAAACCCACCAGCCTCTCCTCAGAAACCAACTACGAGTCGCTATAAGTTGGAACCAACTTGACAACATTTAACAACAGCAAACACATTTCTAAAGGTGGCTTGTCCATTTCTCCAGCCCTTTCCTGAAGAATTTTGTGCTCATTTATTTACACCCCATCCAAAGTGGCAGCTTTGACATCCTTGAGGGACTCAAATTGTGTTCCTTTTAAATGTTTCTTGAGTTTGGGGAACAAAAAAATAGGCAGAAAGAGCAAGATCAGCACTGTAGGGTGGATGAAGTACAGTTTCCCAACAAAATTCCCAGACCAGGGAATGACAGGACAGCCCTGGCTACCCTTGAAGAATGAGCAGGTGCACAGTTGTGATGAAACAAAAACTTCTGGTGAAACTTTCCTGGCCTTTTTCTCACCAATGCAGTTTTCAATTTTTTAAAAAAGTATTTACAATATGCCCCCATGATCATCCTGTGTCCTTACGAGAAAATCTATTAAGATTACCCCTTGGAAACACTGAAACCAGTTGTCCTAACCTGAGCTCACCTCCCTGCCTTGAATTCTTCTCTGAGGTCTTCTCTATCTTCCTAAAAACACTTGATCCATCTGAAAACTACTGTTTTATATGGGGGCAGCATTCCCATAACTTTTTGCAAAGCTTCAGTGATTTAGGACAATGTTTACATGAGTTTTGTTAAAAATTTGATGTAAAACTCTGATCTCAAAATTGTTTTACCACAAAGGTATCCTTTTATATTGAATACACCCTAAAGACATTGGTGGTGGTGGCTATGTGCTATGGAGTCAGTTCAGACTCATAGGGACCCTGTATAGGGTTTCTGAGGCTGTAAATTTTTACAGGAGAATCTTTCTCCCATGTAACATCTGGTAGTTTCGAACTGTTGACCATAAGGTCAACAGACTGACTCGTAACCACTATGTTACCAGAGCTCCTTCTAAAGACACTAAGAAAAATTTATTACTGATAAAACTTGCCTGCAGCTATCCACTAATCACAAAGACAAGTTTACACCTGTGCATGCATACACAGGAACCAAGGAATAAAATACTATGTGAAGATTTTAAAATATTCAGCCTCTATTCCCAAGCAGAGTCCTGGTTAACGCGCCAGACTGCAAAGCCGTTTGAACTGCAATATTGGCAATTCAAGCTCACCAGCTGCTCCTTGGAAACCCTATACAGGGTCGCTGTGGGTAAGAAATGACTCGACGGCATTTAACAACAACATTCCCAAGCAAAGACTGAAAATCATAGCATGAAATGTCATCTATAACTTGTTGTTGTTATGTGCCATGGAGTCGATTCTGACTCATAGCGACCCTGTACAGGGTTTCCGAGGCTGTAAATCTTTACTGGAGCAGAAAGCCTCATCTTTCTCCCGCAGAACAGCTGGTAGTTTTGGACTGATGAACCTGACGTTAGCATCCCGATTCTTAACCACTACGCTACCAGAGCTCCTTCATCTATAACAAGGCTAACACTAATCCTTCATGCTAACAGGCAGCATTTGGTGCTGCCAAGACCTGTGGTGCTAGGCTACCTGGATGTGACCCAGGCTCTACTACTGAAGTCTTACTGAAGTCCCCCTGGGCGCCTCAGTTTCTTCTTCAGTACAAAAGGGAGAAGGAGAATTCTATACTTCAACTGAGTTCATATACATTGAGAACAGTATTTAGACATTTATAACAGAACTTAGAATGGAAGAAGTGTTAGATAAGAATTAGCACTCACTTTTATTCATAATAAGCATGACATATTTGTCCCAATAAATGGAAGAAAAATTCAACAGTCAAAAAGGGATGTTTCCCGGCCCCATACTGACCCCACAAGCTTCATCTGTCCCATATGGCATCCTTCCTATTCCAAGAGTGCCTGCCATTTTGATGGGGTCCAAAATACCATCTCTCTCAGAGTTGAGTACTATGTACGCTACAGTTCCTACAAGCCACTCAAGAATTACTTCAGTGACAGGTACTAAAGTCTTGAGGAATGAAAAGTTACCAGATATTTGACACTTGTGAAGACAGGGCTGCTACATTGACAAATTTTAGGGGAGACTGCCAGCAAGGTCCAATACAGCTTATCTAGTGTGGGAGTTCACACAGGGCACAAATTGGTCCTATGAAGTCCCTACAGCCCAGTGTGGGTGCCTAGGACATGACATTAACTAAGGAAGAGGAAGAAGATCAGAATGCGAAATCACTCCATTAGAAAGAATGTTGGCCTTCTGTTGGAATGGGTATGGTCCCAAAGGCCCCTGTTGTACCAAATATTAATGCTTTATTTTCTGGGTCAGAGGAAGATCAACAGGAGCTCCTGCAGAAAGGATATGATAACTATGGTGTATGCAGGGAATCCAAGGCAACGGTTTTATTCACCAACCAACACACAAGTATTTTAACCAATTTTTAACTGCCATTACAGTTGATACTTGACTATCACTCCTGGTTTGAAGGATAAAAAGAATGAGGCTCAGGTCCAATAACTCTGTCCGATAGCACAGGTAATGTAAACCTGACACCAGGTATTACAACTGCATGATACTGGCTGCAAGCATAACTCTATAAATTGTATGTGCACATAACGAGAAACTCGTAGCACAACTGGAAGAGGAAGTTGGGGGTAAGATGACCTTTATGGCTAAAAAGTTAGTAATGTAACCTTGTATAGTAACTACAGATATTCACATACCAAACTATAAGAGTTAAAATTCCTCAAGCCATTTTATTATATCGGAATGTCAAAGAATGCAGTCCTGTCTTCACGATCTTACTCACCTGCAACTCTCTCATCAGTTTCCCTGTTACCATCATCTGAATATCTTGCAAAGTCTAAGGAATCAAGGGTACTGATGCTCCCAGCTCGATCTATAGTAAGGGGAAAAAAATTGTATTAAATAAACACATATTAAGTTACCTGTTATAATAAGAGACTGGAATTCAGTTACCTATGGTAAAAATTGTATTAAATAAACACATATTAAGTTACCTGTTATAATAAGAGACTGGAATTCAGTTACCTATGGTTATTTTCAGCTATTAAAACTATAATTCTTAGATCTAGGGATTCTATTAAGCAATAAGGTAAACTGCTTATATATATCAACCAAGATACTTTAAAATGTCCCAGATTTCCCAAATCTCTGGCTAATCTCTGACTATGCACATATAGAACTTATTATAAACAGCTTAAGATTGAAATTTGATCTGTCATCTAAGAGAGAGTGTCCAAACAAGAGAATTACCTATTTAAGGAAAAAAAAAAAATAAATCAACACTCTTCAAAAAACATATCAAAATTCATTCTCAACAACATTGTCTACATTTTAATTCAAAACTACTTAATAAAACAAACCAGCATATGATCTAGTTTCATGAGAAAACACAACCAAGTGGGACAGGATGATTCATATGTTAAGTGGGACAGGATGATTCATATGTTAGTAGTTAACATACTGTATGGTGGTATCTATATTCAGTGAAGTAAAAGAAAACAGACCAATAACGAAGAAAAGGAAATCTTAGCAGAAAAACAGAGAATATAAAAATATGTACCAAGTCCAAAGAAGCTCTAACACTAAAAAGTAAACTATGAAAAACTTTAAATTCACTGTATAGTTCTAATAATGCAATGACGCTGAAAGGGGAGCCAGTGATCTTAAAGATAAATTAATAGTAACTGTCCATTTGAAGCACAGAGAGAGAGAAAAAAAAAAAAAGATTGAAAAGACAATTAACAGAGCAGCAAGGGTCTGTGGGACAGTAACGAAAGTCTTCAGTATGTAACTGCAATCAACAGTCGGAAGGCCATCAACAAGAAAGATGGCACAGATACAGATTCAAGAAGCGCAGAGAAAACCAAGCTGGAAAGTGAGAAGGGTAACACACCTAGGCATATCATAAATCAACAGCTGAAAATGAAAAATGAAGAGAAAATATTAAAATAAGTCAGAGGAAAACAAATTACATACAGAGGAACAATGATTCAATTGACTGACCTCTCATTACAACCTAAAGGACAAAGGGAATTCAGGTTGGAAATGAAGAAGAAAAATCATCTGTTACAGAGGACATGGTCTTGCATACATAAAACTATAAGGAACCCACTAAAAAGTGACTGGGACTAACAAATGGGTTCATCAAAGGTGCAGGATACAAGATCAATTGGTAAAAATCAATCCTATTTTTAAACACTAACAATGAACAATCCAAAAGTAAAAGAATGCAAACAAATTCATTTCTAATAGCATTAAAAAGAAATAAAGCATTTACAAATCAATTTAACTAAAGGAGGTCATGACAGGATCAACATTATTAGTCATTGAGAATATGAAGAACAAAGCCAACTGTGAGATACCATTTCGCTATGAATGAGTTGGAAGGAAGAAGTCCAAAGTGCGCTGAAGGCACTGGCAATGAACAAGACTCCAGAAACCGATGGAATACACACTGAAATCTTTCAACAAACTGGGGCAGTTTTGGAGGCACCACAGTCTCAAGGGCCACAATGATTAATTGGTATAAAATAGTCTACAAAGACAATGTTCTACATCCTACTTTGTTGAGTAGCATCTGGAATACTAAAAGCTCATGAGTGTTGTTTAAGTGCGGCTACTGGTCTCTCCTCCAACACCATAACTCAGGAGAATACTGAAAGTGTCATGGGCTGCCAAAAGAACCAATAGATCCGTGTTGGAAGAAGTGCAGCCAGAGTGCTCTTTGGAGGCCAAGATGGCCAAACTTCGTCTCTCATACTTCGGACTTATTGTCAGGAGGGACCAGTCTCTGAAGAAGGATTATCATGTTTGGTAAGGCAGAGGGTCAGAGAAAAAGAGTAGGATCCCCAACGAGATGGATTGGCCAAGTGGCAGCATCGATGGACTCAAGCGTGGCAACAGCAGTGAGGTTGGCCCAGGATTGGGCAGTGTTTCATTCTGCTGTGCATAAAGTCACTATGGGTCGGTACCAACTCAAGGGTACCTAACAACAACAACAACAGGCATCTCCATATGTAGAAGAAAGAAGAGTAATGAAAACTGAAGATGCTTAGTATCAATTAGCCCAACAGAGTAATGAAACAGGCAAACATCAGTCTTGACAACTCTAAGACTAGAAGAACTAGATGGTACCCAGCTACCAATGCCAACTGCTCTGAAAGGGATCCCATTAGAAGGTTCTGGATGGTGGTGGTGGTGGTGGTGGTGATGTGGAGTCGTTTCCGACTCAAAGCAACCCTGTGTAGGGTTTCCAAGGCTGTACATCTTTACGGGAGCAGAAAGCCTCATGTTTCTCCCGTGGAACAGCTGGTAGTTTCGAACTGCTGACCTAGAGGTTAGCAGCCCAACTTGTAACCACCATGCTACCAGTTCTGGATAGAGCAGCAGAACATGTGGAACAAAACTCAAAATTATTTTAAAAAAAAAGAAAGGGCATACTTGTCAAAAAAGATGGGAGGAATCAGAGACTCTGGCCCTCGTCTACCCTTCAGGTCTACAAAAAGACCCTTCAGGTCTACTCTGGCCCAACTTTCAGCCACGCAGTAGACAGGTATAGAGGGGAACAACAACACTAACAGGGTCTGCTCACTATGAATGATGGAACAGTTCATATTCAACATCAATGGGGCAACATGCACCCAAAGACAGAGGTGAAAAGGGATGGGAAGGTAGGTGTGGGGAATGGAGATAGAGCCACAGGGAGAAAGCGGGGAAACTGCTGTTCGGTGGGTGGGATTGCAGTCATTTAGACAAAACAAAGTGTATGATTTGTTGAATGTAAATCTTGTCTGTAAAGCTTCTCTCAATTCACAAAAAGTTAAAAAGAAACAAAAAGAAGATAATCAAATCTTTTCATCAACTTTTGTATGCGGCCCTGTTTCTAAGAAATCAACTCTATATAACAATTTAAGCTCCACTGTGGAGTCTTGGTGTGGCGCTGTGGGTTAATGCGCCAGACTGCAAAGCCATTTGAACTGCAAGGTTGGCAGTTCAAGCTCACCAGCTGCTCCTTGGAAACCCTATACAGGGTCGCTAAGGGTCGGAACCGATTCAACAGCACTTAACAATAACATAGCATTTATAAGTATTATTATTTTTTTTTAATTTTCACCAATTAAACAGACTAAAAATTACTTCTCTCTCTGATTTCTTATAAGCTTGAATTGTTGTTATGTGCCATGAAGTCAGGTCCGACTCATAGTGACCCTGTACAGGGTTTCCGAGGCTGTAAATCTTTATGGGAGCAGAAAGCCTCATCTTTCTCCTAAGGAACAGCTGGTAGTTTTGAACTGCTGACCTACGGTTCATAGCCCGATTCATAACCACTTTGCTACCAGAGCTCTTGAATAGTCTTTGAAAAATATACCGGACATCTCTCTTTGGTGGGGGCATGAGTGCTTCAATTTTCTATTCACATCTTTTGGTCATCTAGTTTTCTGATATATTAGTTTATCTAGCCAATACTGCCCCAACCAGAAAGCCCATTTGAGTACTATACGTACTATACCCTCTACTTCTAGTCACAAGTCCCAACTTCTCATTGTTGTTGTTGTTGTGTGCCGTGGAGTCGGTTCTGACTCATAGCAACCCTGTACGGGGTTTCTGAGGCTGTAAATCCTTACAGGAGCAGAAAGACTCATCTTTCTTCCGCAAACAGCTGGTAGTTTTGAACTGTTGACCTTGAAGTTTGCAGCCCAATTCCTAACCACTACGCTAGATGGTCTAAAACCAATACATTAAAGCATGTACACCAAGTCATATGAACATTTGGTGGTGTTAGTTGCCTTCGAGTACATTCTGACTCATGGAAAACCTATGCCTCAAGAGCAGAACTGCTCCACAGGTTTAAGCTGTGACCTTTTGGAAGCAAACTGCCAGGCCAGTCTTCCAAGGTACCTCAGAGGTAAATCTGAACTGCCAATTTTTGGCTAATAGGTGCTTAGCCATTTTCACCTCCCAAGATTACTATTGCCGTGATACTAGACCTCACACTGTTTCACTCCTGATTTTAATGGAATGTTCATTGTGATATCAATTTGAGATGGTATTTACTATGTTTACCAACCACGCCTCTTTCTCCGCCTCACTTTAATTATATCCACATGCCTCCACTAGAGTCTCTCTGCTCATAACTTACTATACTGTTACTATTCCTGATGGTTTAAAATAACTCATCTAATATAATAGGGAAGGCCTTTGGAAGAAGCAAATATGCAGCTTAATTTCCAATTTAGTATTATTATAACATTTGAAAAATAATTTTTTTAAAGCTCCAAGCTAACAATTTTATATTCTGAGAAAAAGAAAAACTTATGAAATATTTTAAAGCAACAATAGCGATGATGTGAAAAAGGCAGAAATATCCTGACTCATGTATGTATATTCCAGTTTATCAGGGAAAAACGTATTTATGATCATAATTTTAACTTTGATTGGACAGATTTTGTAAATGTACTTGATATTTTAAAACTAGTAAGAGGCATGGTGGCACTGCAAGACAAGCAATGGACCGCTAACCACAAGGCCAGCAGTTCAAACCCACCAGCTGCTCCTTGAAAACCCTATACAAGGTCCCTAAACAATAACAAAAACAAGATACACTTCAAAATAAGTGGGGTTTTTCAGATTCAGTCATAATTCTTTTTCTAGGAGAGCATATACCTTTAGTGTTCCAAATATTCTTGTAAAAGAGAAAGTGGCTAGAAAAGAAACATCTTTTAGAAAGAAGTTATCACATCCTAAATACGAAGTGCTTGTTTTTAAGCAGAAACCATTTTTCATCTTCCAGGATGCCTGTGTAACTTCACAGCTGACTTTATAACTCACAAGTTTAATGATCAGGGGCTTTCATCATAGCTGAGAAACCAGTCA